GTGGCGATTTTTATCGACAGTGCTGTCGATAAAAATCGCCGGTACTGTCGATAAAAATCGCCACGTGTGCGCCCGGTTTTAGTATGTGCATTACTCTAACATAGGCAATCTTTAAACTTTACTTCCTTCACACTCTCACTCATAAAACCAGTATTTTAGTTTTGAACTTTGGTAGCCAATTTATATAGCTGCTTCACTCCTACAGACTATTTAAAATGTAATATTATCTTCATGCTGTTGCTAATGAATAAACCAGTGTGTCAATTTTGAACTTTGAGAGCCAGTACATATACCGGCTTGTATAGGCTTAAATTTCTTATAGTCATGCTCCAGTTGTGCACAAGCATATAATGACTCCAGCTGTCAAGAGTATGTTATGTGCAGCTCTACAGTTGATGTGCTCCGCACTAGGTTAGACTGTCTCTATATATTTCTATGGTAATACCATAGCCGTTTTCTGTTGTGCACGTTTTGTATTGTGCAGCTCTAGCTGGTAATTTTAGCAGGACTGTTTGAGTGTTAGAATCTTTGAGTTATACACCCAGTAGACATTGCCTGTACTCACAGTGAACCAAGTACTCGACCATGAAAGCAGTATCAGTAAGATCATCAGGAGAAGCGACCAAACGGCACGTGTGCTAAGGCCATCTTTAAAAAATTCTATGTTTGCTGTCCCCCGACCCATGATTTTTTTAGTGGGTAGGTAGCAGGTAGGTAGGTCATTTTTTGTGAGGCATAATAGTTATTTTAAGTCTGTCCTCATGTTTGCCACACATGCTTTGTGTTTCAGTCTTAACTATAAAAAGTGTTTTTTAAAAAAATTAAAAAAAATATGGAACCCAAAATGTCAAAAAAAACTTTTGGGGTGCGGCTATTTTCGTGGGTCGGTCGGAGGACAGCAAACATATAATTTTTTAAGGATGGCCTAATTGTTCGACTTCGGTGTACGAAATCTTCGTCGATACGTACTGTAGATGTGCACGCTCGTGTGTTCCACCTCGTGATTTTCGATCCGCAGGGTAGAAAAATCGTGACCTCGACGTCGTAGACTAGTGGAAATCACGCAGCCCCCCGCCATGCGTCTTCTCCTGCTCCGCGCGCCACCGCACCTGCGCCACACGATTCGCAAGACGGCGTTCTCGCCCTCGAGCGGTGGCGCCCCCGCGGTCGCCGCCGCCGGCGGCCTCCCGTGGACGTGCGTGCGACACCGCATGACGACGATGCGCGTGTACAGGCCGGGCGACGCCTTTGTCGCCGAGACCGGCACGGGCGGCGGCGGCCGCACGTTCCGCTCGTCGCCGCAGACGAGGATCGCGGCGGCGTTTCGCTCCGAGCTGAAGGACTGCAAGCGCATCGTCGTGAAGCTGGGCAGCGCCGTGATCACGCGCGACGACGAGTGCGGCCTCGCGCTCGGTCGCCTAGCTAGCATCGTCGAGCAGGTGAGTCGGTGACGACAGGGTTTCTTCTGAGGGAAAATTAGACAAAGGAGGTAATGGCCAGTTTGGGAAAAAAACGGGCATGATGGATTCAAATACAGGATATTGATATACTTATAGGTATATAGATACAGGATATACTAATCAGTAAATACAGGAACATTTTCACAACGGCGAGGTTAAATTTGACAACGGCGGTGCGCCACTGTGCCTCCTATGTATAAGAAACCCTGGACGACAATGTTCTGTTCAGCTATGCCTCGACTGACTTCTTGGTTCTGATAGTTCCTCCTCTTATACTGAATTCCTTCTAGTAATTGCCATGTGTGTTAGTGACGCGGTTTATAGGTACGACGTGGTAACTAGTAATATATATATATAATTAGTAATATAAATATTACAACATGTTCTTCTTCTGTGTAGGTTTCACAAATGCATAATGAAGGGAAGGAGATACTGATGGTGACAAGTGGAGCCGTCGCATTCGGCAAGCAGCATCTTAGGCACCAGATAATGATGTCAATGAGCATGCGACAGACGTTAAATCAAAGCGCCTCTAGGGTAGGTACACTCTGCAGTCAACACATTATAGTACCATGCAATACAATGCAATATAATGGAATGAAGCATAATTGGCGGGCAAATTGTTAAATGCGAACAACTTGGTTAGATATAATGGGCAATTGCAATAGTTTAGATCTATGCAATTTAAGACAGTATTGTTGAATGCAGTATGGATGCTTACAGCTGCACTGAAGTAAAATTTAATGCAATAAAATACACCACAAAGCAAGCATAGTGCGAACAAAAATGAACCAATTATTGGACTGTCAGGATAGTCCAAGTTGGACATATCAAGCCAGGTTATTGTATCAAGTTGAATGTTATATAAATAATCTGAATGTTAGCCCATATAATATTATATGTATCTAAACTATTAATTTCATAATGGTCGTGGCAAGCACTCGTCATATGAGCTACATTCTATGAAACGCGATTAACATTAAAACAGTTAGAACAGGTGACGTGCACACGAACATTCTATAATATGCATTCTTAACTATAATGGGAAAGCCATTCAATCTGCATATTATGTATCAGGGTGCGAAATTAACGGGAGTCCGGAGTCAAATACTCCCTGATTTACTGTCGGACTCCCTGATTTGACATATGCAGGAGTCCGTGTGACTCTCTGAAAATTCTGCCATACTAACTAGTTCGTTCCGGAGCACAGCCTCGCGGAATAACCATATTTTTTCAGCTAATGTCCAAAGAAAATTTGGCAGACGTTCAACCGCATGAATCTTAATAATAAGCACATCTTTAATTTTGAACCTCAGACTGCGGACTCCCTCATTTTGCTGCGGACTCCCTCTTTTTGAGGGTAGGGAGTCTGTTGGACTCCTGCGTTCAAAAGTGTATTTCTACCCCTGTGTATGATGTAGCCGTTTGATGTTCATAGTATATTTGGTTGGCATTTATTTGGCAAATTTATGTGTATTTCAGTCTGGTAGTTCGATGGTGGATCCGCGTGCGTGTGCTGCCGTTGGTCAGAGTGGACTCATGTCTCTTTATGATAACATGTTCGCTCAGTATGGTGTCATAGTATCACAGGTGAGTCATGTGTCATCAGCTGCACTGCAGTTATCTCCTCGTCTACCACCCTCCTGATAATTATGGCAGATAATTATCTCAGAATCCACTTAACAAACGCGTGCACTCAAGATCAGCTAATCCTTATCAGGCAGCTGGTTTCGCAATTGGAAGTCCCCGTTGTTACTTTCTTTGGGTGTACTATGATCAGGTGTTGATTTCGTCATAGTCTGTCTGTGCATTTTGTACCATGCACGTGTTTAGTCCATGCTCTGTCTTTTATCCAATTTCATAGTATGAATGTTGTGCATTGAATTATTAGGCAATATTGAACAAGTAATCATTAAAACTTTGGTAGTAAGTATGATTTCTGTGAATTTATTATGAATTTACTATTGAAATGTCTAAGTTGCATATGTGCTGCCTCTACTGCTCGGCTTGGTTTTATGCATCTATGTGTATACTATGTATACTATGTATACTAATACTATTACTAATATGTAGGATATACTCGTATATAGGATATGTACGTGATGTTATTACACAGAGTTATATTGTGGTATCACTATCTCACACTGATCACCCACAGAGGTCACATATACTGCCGTGCACTATCATATATGCAGCAAGCGGCACTATATGGTTTTGTTGTGGAAATCTTTAAAATTGGTAAAATACATAGTGAATACATACAAAAGAGATATATGTACATGACCCATATATATATGAATCATAATGTCTGGCAGTTAATTACCTGTAACAGTTAGTATTTCTTGCAGACTCTGGTGAAGACTCCTACTCTACTTACCTCTACATAGACCTAAACAGTCAACAACACTGCATCTAAACCAGTCGCATTGTTTTACAAATGCAGTTTTTACCATTTTCGTATCATTACATATGATTGATACGTGCTTAGAGTATGCTTGGTGCCATACTTACATCAAACTTGCTTAGTATTATTGTTCAGCTGCATACAGTTCAGTATTCAGTGAACATATTCATTTACAGTTTGAACCCACACGGGGCCCGTTTTATAAAGTTTGTGCGCTTAATCCACAGCTATATAACTCCTATATACTCCTATATATACACTCTATATGTGTTGAGAGGAGGGAGACGGTCTAATTACGTCTGTAATGTAAATTCATTTTATATGTAATCACACGTGCTTGCATATAATTGCCAGACTGTGGCTTGTCATGACTGTGGCAACAGCTCTAAATTCTCTACATGCTAATTTATTTCTCTTTGATGTATCAGCCTCACATGGCATCTTTTCGTGCCCTACATATATAGTTATATCAATGACTCACAAATTACACATGACCTAGATTATGATTCCATTGAGTGGCAATTGATGTTTTTAGTATGTGCATTACTCTAACATAGGCAATCTTTAAACTTTACTTCCTTCACACTCTCACTCATAAAACCAGTATTTTAGTTTTGAACTTTGGTAGACAATTTATATAGCTGCTTCACTCCTACAGACTATTTAAAATGTAATATTATCTTCATGCTGTTGCTAATGAATAAACCAGTGTGTCAATTTTGAACTTTGAGAGCCAGTACATATACCGGCTTGTATAGGCTTAAATTTCTTATAGTCATGCTCCAGTTGTGCACAAGCATATAATGACTCCAGCTGTCAAGAGTATGTTATGTGCAGCTCTACAGTTGATGTGCTCCGCACTAGGTTAGACTGTCTCTATATATTTCTATGGTAATACCATAGCCGTTTTCTGTTGTGCACGTTTTGTATTGTGCAGCTCTAGCTGGTAATTTTAGCAGGACTGTTTGAGTGTTAGAATCTTTGAGTTATACACCCAGTAGACATTGCCTGTACTCACAGTGAACCAAGTACTCGACCATGAAAGCAGTATCAGTAAGATCATCAGGAGAAGCGACCAAACGGCACGTGTGCTAAGGCCATCTTTAAAAAATTCTATGTTTGCTGTCCCCCGACCCATGATTTTTTTAGTGGGTAGGTAGCAGGTAGGTAGGTCATTTTTTGTGAGGCATAATAGTTATTTTAAGTCTGTCCTCATGTTTGCCACACATGCTTTGTGTTTCAGTCTTAACTATAAAAAGTGTTTTTTAAAAAAATTAAAAAAAATATGGAACCCAAAATGTCAAAAAAAACTTTTGGGGTGCGGCTATTTTCGTGGGTCGGTCGGAGGACAGCAAACATATAATTTTTTAAGGATGGCCTAATTGTTCGACTTCGGTGTACGAAATCTTCGTCGATACGTACTGTAGATGTGCACGCTCGTGTGTTCCACCTCGTGATTTTCGATCCGCAGGGTAGAAAAATCGTGACCTCGACGTCGTAGACTAGTGGAAATCACGCAGCCCCCCGCCATGCGTCTTCTCCTGCTCCGCGCGCCACCGCACCTGCGCCACACGATTCGCAAGACGGCGTTCTCGCCCTCGAGCGGTGGCGCCCCCGCGGTCGCCGCCGCCGGCGGCCTCCCGTGGACGTGCGTGCGACACCGCATGACGACGATGCGCGTGTACAGGCCGGGCGACGCCTTTGTCGCCGAGACCGGCACGGGCGGCGGCGGCCGCACGTTCCGCTCGTCGCCGCAGACGAGGATCGCGGCGGCGTTTCGCTCCGAGCTGAAGGACTGCAAGCGCATCGTCGTGAAGCTGGGCAGCGCCGTGATCACGCGCGACGACGAGTGCGCTCTGCGCTCGGTCGACCTAGCTTAGCATCCGTCGGACGCAGGGAGTCGGGATGACGACATTGGTTTCTTCTGAGGGAAAATTAGACAAAGGACGGGTATGGCCAGTTTGGCGCGAAAAAAACGGCCATGATGGATCAAATACAGGACTATTGATTAACTTATAGGTATATAGATTGACAGGATATTACTAATCTAGTTACATACAGATACATTTTCACCACTCGGCTGATGCTTAAAGTTGACAACGGCAGTGCGCCACGGTGCCCTCCTATGTATAAGAACTCGCTGGCACGACGATGCTTCTTTCAAGCTTATGCCTCGACTACTTCTTAGGTTTCTGATGTTCCTCCTCTTATACTGAGATTCCTTCTAGTAATTGCACTGTGTGTTCAGCATGACGCGTGTTATAGCGTACGACGTGGGTACTGTAATATATAGATATATTAAATTAGCTAATATAAATATTACACACACCTGTTCTTCTTCTGGGTAGGCTTTCACACAATGCATAATGCAAGGAAGGCAGATACTGATGCGCTGACAAGTGGTAGGCCGTCGGATTCGCGCAACAGCATCTTACGCGCCACAGCATCAATGATGTCAATGAGCATGGCGACAGACGTAAGATCAAAGCGCGCTCTAGGTACGCCCGTACACTCTGCCTCAACACATTATAGTACCATGCAATACAATGCCAATATAAGTGGAATGAAGCATAATTGGCGGCCAAATTGCGTAAATGCCGAGCCAAAACCTTGGTTAGATATGAATGGCAATTGCATAGTCTTAGATCTATGCAATTTAAGACAGTATTGTTGTAATGCGTATGGATGCTTACAGCTGCCCACTGGAAGTAAATTTAATGCCCAATAAAATTGCACCACAAAGCAAGCATAGTCGCGACAAAATGAACAATTATGCGACTGTCGGATCAGTCCAATGTTGGACAGATCAAGCCAGAGTTTATGTATCAATTTGAATGTTATATTAAATAATCTGAATTCTTAGCCCATAAATATTGATATGTATCTAAACTATTAATTTCATAATGGTCGTGGCAAGCAGCTCGTCATATAGCTACATTATTCTCATGAACAATCCACGATTAACATTAAAACAGTTAGAACAGGTGACCGTGCACGACGAAGCATTCTATAAATATGCATTCTAACTATAATGGGAAAGCCATGTCAATCTGATCATTTGTATCACGGCTGTGCGAAATTAAACGGGCAGTCCGCGAGTCAGAATACTCCCTGATTACTCGTCGGACTCCCTGCATTTGACATATGCAGGAGTCCGTGTGACTCTCTGAAAAGTGTCTGCCATACTAACTAGTTCGTTCCGAGGCACAGCTCGCCTTGGAATAACCATATTTTTTCAGCTTAATGTCCAAAGAAAATTGCCAGACGCTGCAACCGCCCATGAAATCTTAATTATAGCACATTCTTTAATTTGACCTATCAGACTGCGGACTCCCTCCATTTGCTGCCGGAACTCCCTCTTTTTGAGGTAGGGAGTCTGTTGGATCCTGCATTCAAAGTTTATTTTACCCTGTGGTTCATTGATGTAGGCGTTTGATGTCCGCAGTAGTATATTTGGTGGCATTATTTGGCAAATTTATGTGTATTTCAGTCTGGTTGTTTGCGATGGTGGATCCTGCGTGCGCTGTGCCTGCCGTTGGTCCAGAGTGGACTCATGCTTCTTTCTGATAACATGTTCGCTCAGTTATGGTGTCATAGGTATCACAGTAGTGAGTCATGGTGGCATCAGCTGCCACCTGCAGCTATCTCCTCGTGGTCTCTCTCTTTCTCTCTCTCTCTCTCTCTCTCTCTCTCTCTCTGCTCTCTCTCTCATCTCTCTCATCTCTCTGGCTCGTGCTCTCGTCTCTCTCGTCTCTCTCCTCTCTCTGCTCTCTCCTCTCTCTCTCTCTCTGGCTCTCTCTCTCTCTCTCTCTCTCTCTCTCTCTCTCTCGCTCTCGCTCTCGCTTCTCGCCTCTCTCTCGTCTTTCTCTCTCTCTCTCTCTCTCTCTCGTCTCTCTCTTTCCATGCTCTCTTTCTCTCTGTCTCTCACTTTCCCTCTCCCTCCCCCTCTTCATCTCCCACTCCTCACTCTCCCTTTTCCTTTCTCTGTCCTCTCTCCCTCTGTCTCCCCCTCTCACTCTCTTTCTCTTTCTCGCCCCTCTTTTTCTTGTTTCTCTCCCTCTCTTTTCCCCTGCCCGTCTCTATCCTATATTGTTATTTTACAGTTTTTTGCTGTCTTACATCTTATAATCAAGCATTAATTGTGTTCTATAAGCATTGATTCAGCATTTGTAGACAATGGTGGTTCATCTGATATTCACAGGTGTTGGGTGACCAAACCAGATTTCTACAATGAAATCACTCGCGCAAATCTACAGTCAACGATGATGGAGCTGATGCGACTGAAAATCCTACCCATCGTAAATGCCAATGATGCAGTGGCTCCACCTGCTGAACCAGATAAGGATCTTTCAGGGGTGATCAGTGTAACCATACTTGCTTATATTTTATTTCTGCATCTGCATGTCTTTTATATGCTCTATGCACAATGGTTCAGCGTGTAGATTTTAGTGAACTCCCTGCCACTCCTTTTGCCCTGCTAGTGTTTGTAAGTCATTGAAGTGTTTGGTAGTATTTAGATTCTCGTCTCTTCGTTGAATCTGTCCACATTTTTAAAAACTGTTTTCTTTCGCAACGAGCACAATTCTTATCTATATTCTTTTGTATTTTATATATATATATATATATTCTTTCATATATGCATCCACTTTCTATTTATTATATATGCATAATTTTCTATATACGCTGTTTTTTTTTTTTTTCTTTTTTTTGTCGCAGACACGCACACACGTTTTCTTTTGTAAATGAGTCATTTTCACACGCGTTCTCGCGTTTCTTCGCACGCGTTCTCCTGTATGTTAGGTTGACTTCCAATGCCACGTACGCGTGCATGCACACGCATGCACACACACAGGCACACACGCAGGCACACAGCACGACCACACACACAGGCACACACACACGACACACATCACACACACACACACATGCACACACACACGCACGCACAACACAACAAACACAACACACACACACGCACACACACAACACACAACACGCACACACATACATTATTTTGCATACAAGACATTTTTGGCCACGTTCTCTCACAATCTTCGGCTCCCCCGGCCGCCCTGCCCGCGTTTCGTCATGCATGCCGACGTTGCACCGCCCGCAGGTGATCAGCGTGAAGGACAACGACAGCCTCGCGGCGCGCCTCGCCGTCGAGATGCACGCCGACCTGCTGCTGCTGCTGTCCGACGTCGACGGCATCTACACGCACCCGCCGGGACTCGACGGCTCGCGCCTGCTGCACACGTTCAACCCCGCCAGCGACATGCCGTCGATCGTCTTCGGAGAGAAGTCGCGCGTCGGCCAGGGCGGCATGGAGAGCAAGGTCAGGGGTTTAGTGAGGCCGCAGCATGGCAGAGCAAGGCAGCGAGGTTAGGTGGGGCAGCAGTGCGAGAGCACAGGTCAGGGGTTACGGGTGGCAGCAAGCGAGAGCAAGGTCAGCGGGCTTTAGGTTGCGCAGCCCATGGAGAGCAAGGTCAGGGTTAGGTGGAGGCAGCATGGAGAGCAAGGTCAGGGGTTAGGTGGGGCAGCATGGACGAGCAATGGTCAGGGCTTAGGTGGGGACAGCATGGAAGAGCAGCCGTCAGGGGTTTAGGTGGCAGCTGGGAGAGCAAGGTCAGGGGTTAGGTGGGGCAGCATGCGAGAGCCAGCGTCCAGGGGTTTAGGTGAGGCCCGCAGCATGGAGAGCAAGGTCGGGGTTAGGTTGGGGCGGGCATGGAGAGCAAGGTCAGGGGTTTAGGTGCGGGCCAGCATGGAGAGCAAGGTCAGGGGTTAGGTGGGGCGGCATGGAGAGCAAGGTCAGGGGTTAGGTGGGGCAGCATGGAGAGCAAGTCAGCGGTTAGGTGCGCGGGGCGGATGGAGAGGAAGCGTCACGCGGGTGTAGGTGGGCAGGTGCATGCGAGAAGCAAGGTCATGGGTTAGGGGTGGGGCAGCATGGAAGGAACAAGGTCAGGCTGGTTAGCGTGGGGGCGGCATGGAGAGCAAGTCAGGGGACATTAGGTGGGCAGCATGGAGAGCCAAGTCAGGGTTAGTGGGGCGGCGATGGGAGAGCAAGCGGTCAGCCGTTAGGTGGGGCAGCATGGAGAGCAAGGTCAGGGGGTTAGGTGCGGCAGCGCAGCATTGGAGAGCAAGTCAGGTTGTTAGGTGGGCAGCATGGGAGAGGCAAGTCAGGGGTTAGGTGGGGCGGCATGGAGAGCAAGTCGCGGGGTTTAGGTGGGCCCAGCATGCGAGAGCAAACCGTCAGGGTTAGGTGGGCGCGGCATGGAGGAGCAGGTCACGGGGCTTCAGGTGGAGGCGGCCAGGAGAGCAAGGTCAGGGGTTAGGTGTCTGGGGCGCATGGAGAGCAAGCGTCAGCCGCCCTCTATATTCCGCCTTTGTTGGCGGCTGGTGTGATGGTCCAGGGGTTAGCGTTGGGCCCAGCATGCGGAGAGCAAGGTCAGGGGTATAGGCGTCGGCCAGCATGAGGAGAGCTAGCGTCAGGGGGTTAGGTGGTGGCCAGCATGAGAGCAAGGGTCAGGCGGTTGGTGCGGGCAGCCATGCGAGAGGCAAGGTCAGCGGGTAGGTGGGCAGCGATGGAGAGCAGGTCAGGGGTTAGGCGGGGGCGGCCAGCATGCGAGAGCAAGGTCAGGGGTTAGGCTGGCGGCAGCATGGAGAGCAAGGTCAGGCGTTATGTGTGGGGCAGCACTGAGAGAGCAGAAGGTCAGAGGGCGTTAGGTGGGCAAGCATGGAGAGCAAGGTCAGGGGTTAGGGGGGCGCATGGGAGAGCAACGCGTCAGGGGTTAGTGGCGTAACGGGCGCGAATGGAGAGCAAGGTCAGGGGTTAGGGGGGCAGCATGAGAGCAAGGTCAGGGGTTAGGTTGGCGGCAGCATGGAGAGCCCAAGGGTCAGGGCGTTAGTGGGCAGCATGGGAGCAGCAAGGTCTATGGGTCTAGGTTGGCAGCGATGCGGAGAGTAGGTCAGGGGTTAGGTGGGTGGCAGCATGGAGCAGCAAGGTTCAACGGCGGTTAGGTGGTGGCAGCCATGGCAGAGCAACGTCAGGGGTTAGGTGGGGGCCAGCACTGGAGAGCAAGGTCAGGGCGTATAGGATGGGGCGCATGAGAGCATAGCGTCAGGGGTTCCGGTGGAGCAGCAGTGGAGCAGCCAAGGTCATGGGGGGGGTTCCAGGTGCGGGGGCAGCATGAGAGAGCAAGCCTCAGGGGTTAGGTGAGGGGCACAGCATGGAGAGCGGCCTGTTAGGTGGCGGCAGCATCGCGAGAGCAAGCCGTCAGGGTTTAGGCGGCCCGGGGAACAGCATGGAGAGCCAAGGTCACGGGGTTTAGCGTGGGCCAGCATGGAGAGCAGGCAGGGTTAGGTGCGCAGCATGGGAGGATGCCAAGACGTCCAGCGGGTTGTGGCCGCCGGCGCATAGAGAGCAAGGTCAGGGGTGAGGTGGCCGGCGCCGACGGGTTGCATGGAGAGCAAGGTCAGGGGTTAGGTGGGGCAGCATGGAGAGCAAGGTCAGGGGTTAGGTGGGGCAGCATGGAGAGCAAGGTCAGGGGTTAGGTGGGGTTTGTGTGGGGCGTTGTCAGGGGTTAGACAGTGTTCGCGTGGGGCACTGTTCCACCTGTGTCAGGCAGAGCAGCATGGACAACAAGGTCTGGGGGTCAGACAGGGCGGCATGGAGAGCAAGGTCAAAGGCTAGGTGGGGTTCACGTCACGACCGGTAAATTTCGGCGCCAATCTTGTTGGCATTCCTGTGGTTTTTCTTCCTTCCTTTCTGGGATGGGGGTGTCTCTCTGTGGGCAGAAGACTGAGGAAGTTGTTTCGACAGGAAAACGAATTGTCGAATCTGCGGTAAAATCGGCTGCACAGCTCTGTGTGCAAAACACACTGGGATTGGTGAAACGAATCGCTGAATCTGCAATAAAATCAGCTATGCTTTGTGCGAGCGTGGATGCCAAGGGCAGGGTTCAAAACGGTTAGAGTGACGCTTAACTACAAGTCAGTCTATTTCCAAGAAAATTAGCAGTATGTTACTCGAACATGGCTTCGAAATGTGGATCTCAAGCAGATGAAAACTCGAGCACAACTGTTAATCTATGTGTTAATCGGCTGTGAAATTGGCAGCGAGTTGGTCCAGCCAAACTTTGGAACGTAACCTTGAGAGCCATGCCACTATCGTGACTCACTGCTGGGGCCACAATTAAAAAAATCTTTGTTTGCCTTCACCCAACCCAGGCTGAAATATGTTTGGGTAGGTAGGTAGGCTTCTTTTTATTGAGGCAGGTCTTTTTACAAATTCCAACTTTTTCCAATTTACAAATTTACAATTGTTTGTTTTGCTTGGTACATATAATGTATTGCCTACAGATTTACATAATGTACAGTGATACAATTTGTAAAAATCAGGTGAAGTCTGCTGCCTGGTGTCTGGAACGCGGAACGTCCGTCGTCATCTGCAATGGCGCAGCGAAGAACAACATTCTGAACATCGTTCAGGGCAAGAAGGTCGGAACGTTCTTCACTTCCAACATGGCGACGGCGGTGCCGGTCGATGTGCAGGCCATGAATGGTGCGTACGGCATACGAGCATGTCAGCGTGTGTTTAGCTGCACGTCGTGCAGACGATCTTATGCATGGCATGGCCGTGTTTTGGAGATGTTTTCATATGAAAACATAGCACTTGAGACACATATGCCCATGTGTACGAATGGTGGCTTTTTCAGACTTGCTATGCGTACTGTCGTATACGGTGTGTTCATTTTTCAAAATCTGGTTCAAAGTGGGTAAACAATAGCATGCTCTGTTAAGCTGGCACTGATCGTGACGGAACGGTCCATGGCGTGATCATCCTTGCCATGTCACTACAGCATAGCGTAGCTTCCCTGCATCGGGGAGATACTATGAGAGTTCACATTACGCTGTTACGTGATGTCGTGTGTGTTAGCTAAGCTCTGTCTGCTGCAGCGAGGGATGGAGGCAGGAAGCTGCTGGCACTGCCCGCGAGCGAGCGCGCCGACATTGTTCACACCATCGCCAACCTGCTCGTCGAGCGCAAAGCCGAGCTTCTGCAGGCCAACAAGCAGGACATAGAAGCCGCGAGGCGGTCAGGTGGGCAGCGCGACTCGTTATGTGTAGAACGTTGTTATAGCTTACTATTTACTTACGCTACTAATTAATATTATCTTAATATAATATATTAATATATATAATAAGATAATATATTATATTAATATATATATATATATCTAACTATAGTTAGTATATATATCTTATATCTTATTGCCGACATACGTATACACTTTAGACCCGATATAGCATGGCTGGCTTGATATAACGTGAACTCACTTGTAATGCTGGTTTTAATTAAAGATTTTAATTAATTTAATTGGGAACTAGGAGCAATTGCACAATATAAAACACAATATTCAGGGATTTTTTAAGGTGTCAGATCATTTCCATGGCATTTTAATGCCCATGTGGGCTTGTCTGCTAAATATATAAACCTGATATAATGCACACTGACTTGTACCACAATCCAAAAATTTTGACCCATTCACCCACATTATATTGCATATATACAGTGTAATTCGTACTTGTATCACATTGCTTAGGTCAGCATATATTAATCTCTTTTTCACAAAAAAAGATAAGCAACCAAGTCATAACAAGTTTGTTTACCTTACTATGTACACTGGACATAAATAATGATGAATTAGCTATTACAACTACGTACATAAAATACATTCCATAGGTGCAAGTTGGATGGTTCTTTTTCATTGGGCCTAATCACGTAACGTTATTTTACACTTATTAACATTTCAAACCTTGCCATTGAATCAGCCTGCATAAATTCCATTTCATTATCGCCCATGTCATGACAAACATTGAATGCTGACTATGCACAAACTGTGTTTATTTAGAGAAAATTTTGTTTTGTTTTTTTGCACTTACATGCTGTTAAGACTCTGCATTTATTCATAGGTCTGGCTTCCCCAAGTCTCGCGCGGCTTGTGTTGAGTGATTCAAAACTTCAAAGTCTATCAGACGGTCTTCACCAGATTGCAGACTCTTCGCACAAGAACGTTGGACGGGTCCTAAAGAAAACAAAGATTTCCACTGGTAAGTAGTCTACCAGGGTAAAAACTACACGGGAGCGATGAGCGATTCGCTCTTCAAACCTCCGAAATCGCTCCCGTGAAGCTCAAAATAGCTCCCATAAAATTTTTGACGAGAGCTATTTTTCCCACAGACTTTTGAAAAAGAACTCCCATGAAAAAAAAGTACCTTTTTCCCTGTAGTCTACTCTAAGGAGCCCCCTGTATGTAGTACATGTGTGTGCTCTGTCAATCACAAATTTTTAACTAATGATCTTCGTACAGAGTGATTACGTACCACAAAGTGTTGAATTTGTCTGCTGTCATATATGTGATTATTATTTTGTGTCTTACATGAACTGTGTATTCACAATAGCAAAATCACCAAAGTGTGAAAGCATTACTATACTTCAATTGGTCTTCAAAAGCCAATCGTAATTAATCAATGAGGGGACGAGAGCTTGTGGATGGATCGGCGTAGTGATGATTGGTGTGTTGGCACATGATATCATGGTGGACGAGCTTTAGTAGGTGCACACGTTTGTGAACTGTGAAATGTTTGACAGGCATGGTACTGCAGCAGGAAACTGTTCCAATTGGTGTTTTGCTGGTGATATTTGAGTCCCGTCCAGACTGTCTCCCTCAGGTAAGTGGTACTGTTTATTGTACAGACAAATACACATAAATATCGAAGTTGATTGACATGTCGCTAGAACTCTAAGAAGAAGACACAGTAGGCAAATAGATGGTTTGCATTGACAATGTTTGTGTGGTCATTGTCCGGCGACACCTGGGTAGCCGATCCCATTGTGTCAGGAATGTTTATTGCCGGCGGTACCTGGCAAGACTTGACGCTATCAAGGAAAAGACACAATTTTACCAGTGTATATCTAAGCTATTATTTATTTACTAAAACATTAGATTCCTTGTCCTTAATCCTAAAGTTAAACGGTTTAGGTTGTACTTTCTTAATGTAAATCGGCTGTCGTTTGCACTCCCACCTGTTTTATAAGAAGTCAGTGAATGACAGAGGATGATATATTAACAGGTTAAATTTTGTGTGTGACATAGGTGGCAGCACTAGCTATTAGTAGTGCCAATGGTCTGCTGCTGAAGGGAGGCAAGGAGGCATTGCATTCCAATCGCTTCCTACATAGCCTAGTGCAAGAGGCACTGGACAAGTATAAATGCAAGGATGCTGTAGCCCTGGTAAAGAATTATGATATCAATAATTATTTCGGCTTGGTCAATATAATGGAAGTGAGCTGAAACCTTCACACCATTTGATCCTAATTAAATTATGAATTTCACATTCCCCCAAATTGTGAGATGGGGCTGACCAGATGAATGTGTACATACATGCTAAGTAAAAAACACCACTGCTCTACTGGGAGACAAACGTTCCAGTTGTTTGAGACTCCTGCTGTCTCAATCCTATCTCATGCTGTTAGATTCACGCCGTCTCAATCCTATCTCATGCTCTTAGTGCTGCTCAATCCTATCTCGTGTGGTGAGACTCCCGCCGTCTCAATCCTGCCTCATGCTCTAAGACTCGGCGTCTCAATCCTGA